TCTGATTTCACCCACACCATCTTCAGCCCGTCGGCAACATCAATATTCCTCTCGGTCGGTGGCCCAAGTAGTGAGTGATATCGATTCAGACAGCCAATTAGGGCTAAAAGGCCCTTCAACGTGAATTTGTGCACAGATAGACAGACAGAAAAGGCGTCCCAAACGCTTTCTCTTCAGTCTCTAACCTCCTCCCCTCCCCCCCTCCACCCCCCACGCGCCCCTTTGTCTCAGGGTATTTTTCTATTTTTGCTCATTTCTGCTCATCTCTCCCTTTTCATTTACATTCACTTTGTCCATCTGTCTGGGGTCTCAGGATTATTATCATTTTCCCTTTTTCATCTGCGATAATTCTGGACAAGATGGAGTACCCCCCTTCTCCTCCTCATGACGCTGAGCTCGTTACTGGGTTACAGTGAGGGGGTGAGTGGAGGAAAAAAAATATGGAAGACGGTGTTATTTCCTCAGGGAGGACAAAAAGTTACATCATCTCTTGTCATTTTTTTTTATCCTCGATTTGTCGCATCAGCGTCACGCGTGTCTTTTCCGTCGTCTCTGCACGCCTCCCCCCTACCCCCGCCCCCTCCCCCTGGACCCATTGTCAATGTTGAGAGGAGAAGAAAAAATGAGCCCCGAGGACAAAATGAAAAGGAAAAAAAAGAGAAATGAGGAAATTTCGCCGAGAAGATGCAGAAGGTGATTTTTCTTGGGGGGGAGGGAGTTGGTGAGGGGGGCGGGGATTTGCTGGGGAGGTCGAGTGCTTGGGGGAAAGACATTTTGGATTGGAGAAGGAAGTGATTTCTGCGGAGAAGTGTTTTTATGGGGAATTGGGGAGAGTGGGGAGATACCGGTGTTTTTTTTTGCGGAGATGACGAAGTTTATCAGAAAAGTCGTCTTATTTTCGTTATGGGGACATTTGGGGGATTGTCTGCACGTGATTTTTCGAGGCATCTGTTGGGGGTTGGACTTTTTCGGTTATGGAGTTGGGGACAATTTTAGAGGATTTTTTTTGGAGTATTTGATTCTCTGCAGGCGAGGTTCTTGTTTTTTATTATTTGCAGGACATTTTACGAATTTATGCAGCGTAGAATTAATAGTATTAAAGATATCCGAGTATCCTTTCCAGGTTAGTACAATTTTGGACCAACAAAATCGTTAGTTGAAAATTCAAGAATATGTTTATCGGGATTTTTCGGTATTGTATTAATTTTTATGGAATAATTACTAATTATTCAATTTCACAACTTAGACATTCAAATAAGTCGTGAAATTTCCGTCCCACTCCCACTGAAAACTCATAAATTTCCGTGAATTCTACCCAAAGCTTGAAATTTCACAACCATTTTTCTCCTAAATCTAATTCAATGTCATTCTCAAGATAATCACTACCCCATTTTCCATGAAATTAAAAAAAAATTCTAACAGTGCCTCCCTAGTTATGACTAATTGTACCCGAAGACATCAAAAACCCTTCTGTAGAGAACTGAATGTCCCCCAGAAAAGTTCATCTGACCATTCCCTCTACCCCCCTATTTTCCGCGATAATCTCAATACTCGACCCCAAACTCCCGCTTTTCTATGCAAAAAGTTGATTCACCCTTTTCCCCCAAGCCCTCCATCCCGCCATATTCCCAAAACAATCTCTCCCAAATCCCAAAATTCTCCAATCGCCCTCAATTACTCCCC